AATCACAATGGGCTCAAGGGCTGTTACGGGACCATCATCTCCTGACATGGAAACAATGCTTTGCTGAACCCTGCAGCATGGTGGTCTTGCCTGCAGACTCGTAGCATCAAGCAGGATCATCCTTGGAGCAAGAAATGAGAGTCAAAGCCAGTGCAAGAGATAGGCAGGGAAGACAGTAGGACACGTGGAAAATGGATGTGCTGGTAGGCAAAGCTAACGGAGCAGCCGCAGCATGGCTGGGCTCTCCCAACCCTCCCCAGGCAAGTCAGGTTTATGCAGCTTTGGGTATAGTCAGATGACACGGGGAAGAGAAAAGCACTGCCTACCTTCCTGCTCTCATTTCTCCCTCTTGCAAGGCTGAGGCTGACCACAAGCCCCCCCCTTCCACCCTGTCCGTGGTCCACTGAGAAATGTTCATGTGTCTGTGCTAGAACTCAGTGGCATGTCAGGCTTCTGCCCTGGCACTTCCTCGCCCACCCCACCAGTGGTGCTGGATGTCCCCGTTGCCCATGCTGAGCCCTTCAGAGCCGGGTCTGGCAGCCCCTGGTTGAAGTGGCTGGCCAGGGCTCTGCAAACAAGCGGATGCCCAGTGCTGGGAGCAGTGTGATGCAGACGGCTGCAGCCTGTGGCATCTGCAGCCTCCCAGTCGCACCACACGTGCAAACGTCTTTTGGAACGTTGTGGGTTGAGCTGCCCAAAGGAGTTTGGAACTGGGATGAGGAACCAGCTTTGGAAGTGAAAAGGAGCCGGGATGCAGGGGGATTGCGTTGGCTCTCAGACTGCCCACAGGTGAGCACAGCCAAATCCTGCTCCAGAGAGGAGACCCTGAAACTCCCATTCACACTCTTCCCGAAAGCAGCTGTCTGGGTGGGTGGATGGATGGGGGGCTGATGAAGGATGTAGGGCAGGAGTGGAGGTCCTGGGGGTGCATCAGCAGGGTGGGGGCCCAGCTTTGGGAGACACATTGGGTGCACCCAGCTCTGCCCTCACCACCTCCCTCCAGCCTTGCCTGCACTGACCGTAAATTGCCCCGCTCTTTCTGTTCCCCCGATGCCTCTGAGGCAGCGAACCCTGCCCTGGATGCGTCCAAGAAATGGAAAAACCATCACATTGCGGTGTCTCCATGCTTGCTGGAAAGCTTTTAGTGGGAGTGGAGAGGCTCTCCTCTCCCGCCTGGCTTCTGTCTGACAGCTCTGCAGAGTGGGACGTACAGCTGGGGGGCACACAGCCCCCAGCCAGAGCGGGTTGCACAGTTAGCAATATTTAAAGCCAGGAGAGGGACCGGAGGAGCCCATGGGGCCACGCAGACTTACCAGAGCCCACGCAGAGCTCAGGAGGCAGCAGCAGAGGAGAGCCACCATGATGCCTCCCACGGGGATGGATGCCTCCATGGTCCCACCACACCGCTCGAATGGGGACCTCGAGGACGGTGAGCTGGAGAAAGCAAAGCCTTCACCTGGGGGCAGCTGAATTGCTGCTGGCCCGGGGCCGCAGGTGATGGAGAGGGCTGGCACGTTCGGCAGGACAAAGCATCTTCTGGGAGCACCTTCCCAGCTGCAGTCCCCGTTGAGGCGAGGTGGCGGCAGGGGCACAGCTCGTCCCTGGGTTCTCAGGGCTGAGGGAGCACCCAGAGGTAAGTCCCCTGTCCTGGTGGGCACTGGCCCAGCAGTGCTATAGGGAGCCGCTCACAGGCTTACCAGGCAGGGGGTTTCCTCCCCCCACCATGCTTGCTGCTATTCAGTCTCCGTGTCTTGCCTGCTTTAAGCAGCTCCTGGAGCATGTGCAAACAATTCCCGTTTGGATGGGGATGGCAGAGGTTTATTGGCTTAGCCCTAGGTGCTAAAATCCTCTGCATTCAAGGCAGATTCCTCTTTTCAGAAACTTCTCTCACTGCCTGGTGGCTCATTTTTCAGCTGTCACAGCATCCCCCCACTGCCCCCGCACTGCTCGGTCCCCTCCAGCCCCAGACTGGTCTCAAGGAGCTGGAGGATCTTGGGGAAAATCCCAGCTAAGTGGCTGGAGGTAGGGAGGCAGAGGGTGCAAGCACGTGAGCATCACCTCAGCACTGATGCTCCCGAGATAGGATGTCTTTCAGGCAGACGCCAGTTTAACCCTTTTCCTTCTCTCAGGGTTGGGGTGTGATCTGGGGAGACGTGCTGGGATCAGTCCTGCTACTAAGACAAGCACCTCAGTGCCTTTGTGCATTTGCTTTGCAAAAGGACCTCACTGCACAAGTGCATTTAGCATTCTGTGGAGGGGGGCTGATGGCTAAATCAGCACAGCTCCTGCCTGCAGGAGTGGGCCGGACAGATGGACGGTCCTGGCAGCAGGCAGTTTCCACTCTGATGGGTGCCTCATGCAGCCCATGAATGAGGTAAACCAAACAGGCAGGGCTGGTGGGTCAGAGCTGGTCCCACCACAGCTGACGCCATCCCCACCAGAGCAGTCCCTTGTCACCTGCATCCCCACAGGGAGGCCCCAGGGCTGTCCCCTGTGCTTTGGGATCATGCGGATGCCCAGCTTGAACCTGCCAGCTCGAACACCTTGTGTCCCTGCAGCAGCCCGGATGACCCCCTGCAGAAACGGGAGCGTGGGGGGTGGGGGTGTCCTTGTTCCCCAAGCAGGTTGTCATTAGTGGGATGAAGCTGAAATTCACCAGCCCAGTGCCAAGCCCTGGGAACAGCAGTCTCCCAACCCAGGGCCTCACCCCTAGCCCATGTAATCCATGGCCAGGTGCAGTTATTGCTGTTTCCATAAGGGCAAAATCCTGCACAGGGCAGAGCCCCTGGAGCCTCCCTCGGGGTTTTCCTGGCCAGGCAGCTTGTTCTGGTCCCAACCACGAGCCCTCATGGCTGCTTGGAGCAGGGTCAGACTTCTGCTCAGCTCCTGCGGTGAGGGAAGGCATATCAGCCGGCTGAGAGGGCAAAGCAAATCCAAATGACAGCACTCAGGAGGTGCTGCTGCTCCCTCTGATTAAATCAGACAGGAAAATAAGCCTCTCGGTTGCTTTCCCTGCCACAGCAATCAGCTGTAAATCAAGGAGGGATTGGAGGGATTAGGGGCATCTTGGGCAGCTGCCCATCTCCCCAGCCCAATTTAGCCACCACCCCAGCCCATTGTGTGGGTGCTGACACCAGAAGGGACAAGCAGTTAAATTGCAGGATTAATGTTTTCTTGAAGGCTCCTCTGGGTACTGATTTCTGACCCAGAAGCTGCTGGGGAGTGAGGACAGAGTTAAGGTGAGGTTATTTTGGAGTCGGATGGATGCATGTATGGATGGATGCTGGCTGAGGGGGTGGCACCAACACTCAGGGGCAATTTGATTCCCACTGCAGGCGAAATCTGACCCAGTCTTCAAGTTTGCAGTTAGCAAAATGCGTTGGGTTTGGGTGTTTGTTTTGTTTTTTTGTTTTTTTTTTTTGCTGAATTACTTGCTATATTATAGAGAGATCTGGAAAGCAATCATTGCGAACGACACACACCCAAGCCCCATCATGCAGCCCCCTCAGCTCCCCGAATCCATGCTAGCAATAATCGTGAGATAATGGCAGACAGCAAATTTCCCAGCAGTTTGCGGCTGCTGCCTCCTCCTGAAAGACCCCCATAACCTGGCTGGTGATGGCTCAGCCTCCAGCTTTTAGCAGCATTTCAGCAGAGAAGAGGCTGAGGGGGCTCTGGGCACAGGGCTGAACTGGTGATGCCCCCTGTTCCCATCACTCCTAGCCCTGCAGCAGCTCCAAAACAGCAGGATTAGACCTACCCGGTCATGCCAAGCTGCTGTGATACAGCATGACCTGAACCAGCCTGACTCAACAACCTGAAAATAAAAATATAACTGCATTTTCTATATCTATGTATAAACAAAACTTAAATACATACATATATAATGTGCATATATATATATATGTACAAATATAATGGATCAGACTCCGGCCAGGACCTCGTAGCTCTCGCACCAGGACTAACAGCATTTCACAGGATCCTGTTCCACCAGTGGCTTACAACTATCCCTGCTGCCCAATTTAAGCAGGCACTGGCCAGAGAAATGAGGCTGGGCAGCATCTCCACAGCAGAGAAGATGCTCTCATCTGTTGCAATTAATTTTTGCCCATTTATTTCTGTTACCAAAATACCAGTGCAAACTGGGCATGATTTTTCCTTCTCCTGTGCTCTGTCGCAGTCTGGCTATATTTAAGTTGATGGTTTAGGATGTCTCAGTGTAATCCTTGACCCCATTTTCTGGGATGCTGAACCTCGATGACTTCTGCCTCTTCTGCAGGTCTTCAAACAATTGGGAGAGGGTAAGAGCAGGAGCACCTCCCACTGGAGCTGATGAATTAAATGCCTGGCTTTAAGCCATCCTTTGCATTACCCTCATTAGCCATCCTGACAGAAGTGAGCACAGATTCTTGCCTGCAGTGTGGCCTTTTCCAGGGCACAAGCTCAGCCTTGGGGAGAGATTGGGGCAAACCAGACCCTGAGCACGAGGCCAGGGGGATCGTTCAGAGAGGACTGAGCTCCTTTGAAGCAGCACTTCATAAAATTAAAAAGGGCTCTGCAGCATCCACCCTTGCAGGCCTCCCTAGAAACAGACGCGCTTTTCCCGTGGGTATCGCGTCAGGTTTATCAGCCGTTGTGTTACTATTTTCTTGCCAGGCGCTCAGGGCCATTTGCGTTTAGGTTTTCAGTGATCATTTAGCAAGTGGCCCCCATGCAGCCCACCCGGTGCAGGTGCTGGAGGGGGAGATGTCCCTCCTTTTGCTGGGGGAGGGGGGGGACACAGGGACACGGGACACAGCTGGTGGCTTTGCCGCTTCGGGAGCTGATGACAATGGGCAATTGTCAAGTTGGGGTCGCTCTTGTTTGAGTTTTCTTCCTTTTATAGTAAGTAGAAGTTGCTCCAGCCGCTGGCCTGCCCCTCCGGGGTGAGGACAGGGCTCCATATATAAGGGAAGGAGCAGACTTTGCCTTTCATCCCTCCATTCAGTTGATTTGCTGGGCAGCAGGACTCATCCCTGCACCTTTGCAAAGACCGAGCGTGATGCCGCTCAAGAAACCCGACACGAAGAAGGAAGCAGCCAAACCAGCTTCAGCCCCAGAGCCACCCAGAGAGCCTGCCTTTGATCCCAAGAGTGTGAAGGTGAGTGATGAATGAAGACATCGCTGTCTTTCTTCGTGCTTATCATCTGCCAGGCACAGGCAATGCAACGTGCCACGCAAACAGCATTCACCAGGCTGAGAGCCAGGGTTGGGAGGGGAAAATTATCAGATTGCATTGAAACAGTGGGCTGGGAATGATGCTCTCCTCGCTGGGAAGATGTTTCAGTCTTCCCCCATCCAGCCCTGCACAGCACTCACCCAAGGAAACTGCTTTGCACTCGCACAGGGACACTGCTGCCTAGAGCTCCGGCTGCGGAGTCAAACACCCCACAGGTCCTGGCTGAGACCCTGTGTTGGGGCCTTGGCAGCATTAAAAAGCTTTTATGCCACCCACTGTCTCCATCCTGAAGAATTTGGCCGCCTGCATTGTTTCCTCCACATGAGAGCATCTTTTATCCAAGTGTCTGCAATGGGAGTTCACTTTTTCTGTGATTCCCCAGGATATAGTTACATTTTTAAGCCAGAGCTGTGGCAGGAGCGTTGCTAATAGCAGGCTCAGCACGGAGGCTGTTTAATCACTTGAACTAGGGGTGAAGCCTTGAAACAACATCCTTTCCACCCAAAACAGCCCTGACTGTGGTCCGAGCATCCCCGCTGCCTGCCCACCCCTTGCCTGCTGTGTTGCTGCCGGCTGTGCTTTCCGTAGGGATCTTGGCTCCACAGCAAGGGCAGGAGCACTCCCAGGCATGGCATGGCTGGACACAGCATGGATACAGCCCCCCCGCCCCGAGCAGTCTGTGGAGCCTGGGGAGGGAGATGTTCAAACACAGGGGAGAGCCCCTTTGTTACCCCCAGGCAGTAACACAGCCCTCATGCCCAGCTCTGTTCTCTTCTCTCAACAGATTGAATTCACTGCAGAGCAGATTGAAGGTAAGTGCAGATTCACCTTCTCCCAGAGATGGCACTAGAAATGGGGAGTCTTTTTACAGGTAGTTTTTCACAGCAGATATGACAGCTGAGGCTCCACACATCAAATCCCCTCCTGCGGAAAAGCCCGGCAGGATCCGGGTACCCCCATTCCCCCGACACGCTGCTGATCCTCCAGGATGGGCTTGTGACGTTTCCTAGCAGGCAGAAGGGACATATGAAATCAGAAAGTCAGTGCTGCTAGTGCAAGGTGGTACAGGAATCCCAGCAGGATTCATCCAGCCAGCTCTGCATGGGTGGCAAAAGCTGCTCAAGAAGCTGAGCGACTCATTGAAGGAGTCTGGCAAGCTTTGGTGGCTCATTGCTCAAGCTAGCGCAGGGCTGCCTGTCCTGGGCAGCAGCGACAGGTCCAGAGGGCACCCGCCACGCATGTGTCCATCCCTTCCCTGCCCACCAGGCAGGACTTGCTCCCAGCAGGGTGGGAAATGGGGCCAGGATGGCAGAGGACATCTGAGCTCTTCTTCCCTGCAGAGTTCAAAGAAGCCTTCAGCCTGTTTGACCGGACACCCACGGGAGCCATGCGGATCACCTACACGCAGTGCGGGGACGTCCTACGGGCGCTCGGTCACAACCCCACCAACGCAGAGGTCCTGAAGGTGCTGGGCAAGCCCAAACCAGAAGGTGACAGCAAACTGGGGCAGCAGGGACAGGGTGGGACAAGCAATCCCTCTGCTCCTTGGCAGCAAATGAAGGATTACGTCCCCTGTAGGAATAGCCCTGCAAGATGAAAGAATTAAGAAAGAAATGACGCAGAGAGGCTTCATTCCTGCAAAATTCCCTCACTCATCCTCCCCGTACCATGGCTGATATAAGGGCTAGGCTGTCCTCAGCTGGGGATGGTAGCAACTGATGATTAGCAGACCATATCCTGAGCTGGTGCAAATTGGTGTAACGTGACCGGTCCCAGTGCAGCCACATTGCCTTGGTGGCAGAGAACCTACCTGCTGGTTTTAATTTTTGGCTGATATCGGCAGTCTATGTGCAGTCCCCAGATGTTAATACTTTATTCCTCGTATGGATCTTCCCATCTCAACCATAGTATACTAATAGTCCCATAACTTTGTGGGGTTTCTCTCCTGTACTCAGATGGAAATGAGACCAGGAAGGTCAAGCAGGAGGTCCTCAGAGGCTGACTTCAGCCCGATGAAGTTAATCTCTGACCCCATCTCCTCCTCCCCTTCCAGAAATGAACACAAAGATGCTGGACTTTGAGACCTTCCTCCCCATCCTGCAGCACTTCACCCACAACAAGGAGCAGGGCACCTTTGAGGATTTTGTGGAGGGGCTGCGTGTCTTCGACAAGGAGGGCAATGGCATGGTGATGGGGGCTGAGCTACGCCATGTGCTGGTCACGCTGGGTACGGGCTGGCCCTGGGAAGGGGAGCAGGACACCCCTAAGCTCTTTCTGGGCAAATGGCTTGGGTTAGTTTGCTGGTCTCACAGCTTGGACAGACCCTTTTTATTCTGCTGCTCATAGGCTTTTGTAGGAGTTAATGGCTTCCTGAATATGTGGCCTTTTCCATCTTATGCCACAGCTTCATGCATGATCCAGGTGAGATGGAGAGTCCATAAAATCCTCAATTATCAGACAAGCATTGCAGCTTGGTCTTCTCTCCACAATCTCCCACCAGCATTCCTCAGTCTGTAGTGGCACACAGCTCCTTTTTAATTCCCTTCTCCTTCCTCTTGGTGGCTTTGGCTCTCTGGAAGAAGGACAGGAGGGTCCTGGTAGGCTGAGAACCCTTCCCCTCACCTCTCCATCCTCCTCCTCTAGGGGAGAAGATGACAGAAAGCGAGGTGGAGCAGCTCATGGCAGGGCAAGAAGATGCCAATGGCTGTATCAGCTATGAAGGTAGGAGCAAGAGATGCCCATTGGGGCCATCCCAGACATGGTCATCTTGTCCTAGGGTGCAAAATGTGTTCTCTGTGAGGACACTGGTGATCGTTGAGAGGCAGGTGTGGCCCACCCTCCAAAGCCTCTCCGAGGACAGCTGTGAGACATGTCAGCTGGAGTGGGAACAAGGCATTTGTGCCAGTGATTTCCAGTAAAAGCAGCTGAAGACAGCATGTTTCCAAGGGTTTCAGGACTGTTTGATCCCCAGTTTTGGCACTGTTTTGTTGTAAACTATCAGAAATAAACAAAGCCAGCACCTTTCACAGCCCAGGCTAGTTGGGAACATTTGGAGATTCAGATCACTCACGACTCCAAGAGGGTGAAAATCTGGCAGAGGGGGTGGTTAAATCTGGGAACCCCTAAAATTGGAGAGCATCGAGGAAAAGAAGGTACCCATTTCCCCTGGCCTCAGAAAACTGGGGATAGTGGTACCGTCTCGTCTCCAAGAAGGGCTTGGTATCACTCTAACCATGTTTGGGATGGCGTGCGAGAGGTGGGAACAGAAGGAGAAATCTCGGCCCTGGCAGAGCGCATCCCCTTCGTCCCTGGGGTGCCCCATGCTCTGGGTACCCCCTGCTGCCTCTCCCATGACAGCTCACAGCATGCTTTGACTTCTCATGCTTTCCTTTCTCATTTCCTCCCCAGCTTTTGTCAAGCACATCATGTCTGGCTGAAAGATGAAACTTCAGGTGAGTTTATCAGGGTCTCCTGCTGCTTATGCTGAAATTGGAAATCCTGCATATAACAGCCAGGGGTGGAGGAACCAAAACCCAAACCCCACAAGCAACCCTGTAGTGGACTAATGCCACAGGAATAATCCCAGCTCTGAAAGCACAAAAAGCTGTGTTCGTGATAACAAACCTCATTTGTAACTCATGCCATTTAAAATTTATCGGGACAGCATCAGCCCTGTGACTGTCAGTCGTGGTCTGGTTAATTGTGTCAATTCTCTGCTCAGAAAGAAAGAGGTTGGTGTGGTTTATGGTGGTACATTTTCTAGCCCATCAAGAGCTCAGGTGGTCATTAAACAGCAGCCCGTGGAAATAAATATTTTAAAACTTGCAGCTGTGAATTACTTGATGCTAAGAAAATACTAAGTACTTAGAGAGGAAATTTCTATACTGCTGTGCTAATACTTAAGAAATATTAACATTCTCATTAACATTAGAAAGAATATGGAAAATGTACCATCGATGCTTGTTAAGCTTTTTGTGTTCCTTTAAGTCCGTTTGAGGAAAACAGAGAAACAAGTTTCTTTTAGGGTGAACTATCCCTCAGAAATCCAGTCAATTTAAAAGAAAATCCAAAGTACTAAGAGCTGGCCTGAGTCTCCCCCCCCTGCCAGTTTCTTATGGTTTCATTATCTTGCTTACTTTTCTTAAACATTTTACCACTCCTCAGCTGTGTGAAAGGTGACAGGCAAAAAAAAAAAAAAGAAAAAAAAGAAACAGAATGGAAACAGAATGACCTTCAGATACTGCTAAATACACAAATTAAGCCTTTAAAAATCTCTTCTTTTTTTGCCCTCTACAAATCTCTTTAAACATCAGAACGTTAAAATGGAGGCAGACAGAAGTCTGAACTTTGAATGTTCAGCATCCTTTTTCTCTTGTTTCTAACCCATTTCTCTCCAGTTCCTGTTCATCAGCTCAGCAATATAGGTGGTTAGGTGGCAAATGCTGCCAGGGAGATTTAATTCTACACAAAACTATTTTCATGAAACAGTGTTTTTTTTAATGGTGTGGAATTGTGGCTATTGACATTTTGGGTTCATCTGAGAAGGAGCATTCTCATCTCAAAGATTCATTACATTAAGCCTTCTCATGCTTATCTCCCAGGCTCTCAGAAATGTTTGAACCCGCCTGAGCACCACAAACAGCGAGATTCCTCCATCCATGTCCCTTCCTCCCTGAATATTGCACATCTGCCGAGATTTTTCACATGAGCCACCATGAAGAGTTGGCCTCCATGCATGTGTGCCTAAGCCTCATACAATAGGACATCTGCCACTTGCTTTTAAACCTTAAGTTATTCTTTTCAGATTTTTCCTGTGACATTTGACTCATTAAATTTTGTTTCTTCCTCCCTTAAATGGTACCTCTGCTTTGGCTTTGGACTACTCATTGAAGTGGTAGATGGAGGAGACCCCTCGGTCTCCACCAGCAATTGGAGATGGCAGGATGATCCCACAGAGAGGGAAAAAAGCAGGTTTTATGACCACTAGATGTGAGGGAGGAGTTCAGACTTGGGGGTGAGGGTCTTTGTTCATCACGCCACCCTCAGTGTGGGGCCAGGAGCTGGGCTGCAGTCTGGCCATGTCTTGCTGATGGAGGTAGGTAGGCCTGGAGCAAAGTGAGCATGAGGGACAGGTTGCATCAGACACAACCCTGTTCTTAGGAGGTTCTTCACTTCCTCTCTGCCCTAAAATCAGCCCTTTTATGGACCTGCAGCTCATCCACCCTACAACATGCTACGCCATGAGCATGACCTCCAAGGCCAGGCTGGACTGCACTGTGGAGCAAAGAGGGACCTGCTTGGCCCTGCCACTGTCCCTGTCACGGAAAAGACCAGCAGGCACCTCTCCTTCATCAACATGCTGCCTGTCCCAGCCAAAAAAGGCCAGAGGCCCCTTAAAATAATCAAAACCATCAGAGAAAACATTAAAACCATTCTTTTTCTATATCATTGACGGGTCCAAAAGTCTAGTTTTGAAGGGTGGTTTTCAGGAAGTTGAATCCTGATGAATCAGCAAGGGGGAAGGAAAATGGGGAAACGATGGGTATTTCTGGCCCAGGTCGCACCTCCACCCTCATGGCATGGGATGGTGGGCTCCTGGGGTGCACGTAGTGTCCCGCCTCGGATGCAGCGCAGCCAGGACAGGCTCCCTGGACAGTTCCTCTCCAGGCAGGCAGCGTGTTCGCAGCCAGAAGCTGTCTGGGGGCTGTGCAAAGCAAGCTGGTGGCTCTCTCCCTCTTTCTACCTGCAAAAAAAAATCATCGTAGCATCATTAGAAGTGGTGAATAATTCATGACAGATAACTCAGCCCTCCCATCAGCAGAACACCTGGGAGAAGAAAACGTTTTTCTTTGATTTGTTCCTCATTCCACTGTTCTCACTCCGTGACTTTGACTAGAAATTGAAGGCATTTTGCTCTGATGTGGTTGACTTCAGCTGCCACTTGCTCATTTCTGTGCAGCGACTGAGTAACAGCTGCTTTCAATTCCCACTGCTTAATTCAAACACTCATAAAAAGCAACATAAGCTGTTTATAGATGCAAGATTAGATTTTAGCTTCTGTCTGTGGTATTTCTACAGCTTCCATTAGGGAGAATCTGCGCATCTTGCATCTTTAATGTACTATCTGTATTTTAACATGTTAAAGGACCGCGGTGACAGGGTGAGAAAGGACACTGCTTGCTGCACACTCACTCTGGGGTCACGTTTGCCCTTGCCACTGCCACGGCGTTGGCTCCTGCAGAGGAACGTGCTGTTGCAGAGAGGAACCAAGCAGAGGAGACGCAGGGGACCTGCCCAGACTTTCAGAGGAAATCCATAGCAGAGTCTGGGGACCCTGCTAGCTGTGATATTCCTGCCCTGGAAAGCCAAGAGGCTGTGCTCTCGCTCCTGTACATGGTGTACAAGCCTTGTATTTGAGCCGCCAGCTTCTGTGCAGACAGGAATGACACTGTAAATTAAAACCAAAGAGACTCTTGCAAAGAGACAGCTAGAAAGAGAGCAGTGGAAAATGGAGAGAACTGAGAAAAACGTGAGGGCTGTGAATCCAGCCTTTGAAGCACCCTCGGGGTAACAGCCAGCCATGCTTCCCTTTGGGGACCTGTTCTGTCTCTTTAGGATAAAGCAGAGCTGATTTGTACCAAAGCAGGTTGGAATGATGCACCTGAACAGGCGCAGTATATATAGCTATATACCTCTATGCATGCCTTTGTGCCCTGCCTCCTCCTCTGGAAAAGTGAGGATCCTGGGGAGGAGACAGTTTTAGTCCCATGGACGTTTATAAAAAGCATCTGTGGACATCCATGAGTGACCCCCCTCACGCAGACCTGCACTTCAGGACTGAAGGAATCCCTATAAATTGAGATGTCCCAAGACAATAGTCAACACTCTGTCCTTTTATAGTTTGGACACTTTACTTGGAGCCCAGGGGACTCTGAGGAGAGGTAAAAATAACCCCCTCACTCTAAGGAGAGCCTATGGCTGTGTCTCCTCAGGCTGTGATAAGACAGAGAGAGACTCATACCAAAGATGGTCTGGATGTCAGGAGAGTTCGTGCTGAGCCCTGTGAAATGGAAGAGACAGATGGAGGCAGCTTTCATCCTGAGGAGTTAGCAGCAGGGCAGCGAGATCAGGATGAGGATGATGAGTACGAACTGTGCTCCTTGAAAGGCTCCCTCGGACCCCCAGGCCCCTGTATACACAGATGACCATCAGCGTGTGAGGCCAAAGGCCTTTAGGGAAGGCAGACACTTCACTGTATCATGTTGCTTGCACCTTCCATGTTTGGCAAAATGACTTGGGTCAACCTGATAGCGAGCCAGGTATCCATCCCTGGGGGGAAGCACTGCTCCGTGACCCACTTTGTTATTTGTCTCAGGTCAGGGATTGAAGAAAGCTTTGTCTTTCCATGCCAACCTATTCACACCCTGAAAGCAAACACCTGCAGATTTACTGGAATGATAACAAGCTTGTAAATACGCTTTTCAGAAATGCACAGAAAGACATGTAAAGAGAGTGGGGAAGCAGGCAGGGCAAGCCCTCCTGCTCTACATGCAACTTCTCAACACAAGCACCATGCAGGCAGCTTTTCTTCTCACATAAAGACGCAGTTCCCCTGCTCCCATGTGTGCTCTGTGGTGCTCAGCAGCACATCAGGCAGTGCCAGGATCCGTCCTTCAGGCAGTTGAGTGCAAGTGCAAAAAAGGTATTGGAAGGAGCAGGAGAGAGCATAGAGTCTGCGTGCGTAGGTGCGCACGCATCTGCCGGGGGTGGTATTATGTGGTGGTTGTATTACAGGAAGCTGCTGGAGGGGTTTGGAGAAGGACAGCCTCTGCTAGTTGCAGGTGGCTATTACTAAGTCAGTATTTTTAATAAATTGAAGTTTAGTTGTGCATCTTTATTCCATCCTTTTGGGAAGACAGCTCTTTCTGTCCTGGGAGACATCAGACGAACTGGCACCTGCAAGTAAATTCAGGTTGTAATTGTCAAATTACCTGCCTTGCCCTGGTACCCCCATCTGCCCATTTTACTCCTGGCTATCTTGGCTGTATCTACCTGGGGACAGCTGGCAGCACACAACCTCAGGACTCCCCTGTCCATGATGGGAGCAGGACCTGTGCCGTGCTGATCCCCTACAGTGGGAGCAGAGAGAAGGCAACCACCAGCCAAAGCCCAGTACCAGGGCCTGGGTCGACACGGCACACGCCAGGCCTCCGGTTACGGCAGGAGGGAGACTGCAGTCCAGCACCACGAGGGATGCCGGGGGTTCCTAACAGGCCACTGCAGCCAGGTACGAAGTGCAAGTTTCTACCTTGCATGGGTGCAAAGGCGCCTTGACGGACGAGCCCCAGGCCCCGGATGGGATTTCACCGCACTCCCTCACGCCGGGTGCCAGCTGACGGCCTGAGGCAGCCAACGTCCGCCCCCCTGTGAGGGACAGAACTGTCCGACTCCGTGCTCCCTCCCTCAGCCGGCCCGTGTA